GATGTTCGTCTTGGCCTTGGTTTGTCCCCGTGCGTTTTAAGGGTTTGAGGGCTTGGGGGGCAGGGGACCCACAAAGCGGGACTTGCACGGCAGGATCCCGGTTTAGGTACTTATAACCTTACTATCCCCACTTAAAGGTTCATGGGACTTTTAAAGGTAGGGTCAGAAGTAATGCAACTGCGGATAAAACTTCTTACTGCCCCAACTCAAGGTACTTACAACTTTACTTACTAAGTCCCCCGATCCTCCAAGTACCCTGATCCTCCAAGTAGAGTTCAAGGCCGGGGGTGCAACGTCTAATGCAAGGAATTCAGCGTTTAGGGCTTCCCAGAGAGCCCAATACCCCTTAAATAAGGAACATACCTTAAACTACAGGGGCCTGAATATTAAGATTTAGAGTATATTCCTTAATTCAGGGGCATTGGGCTCTCTGGGGGGGCTTGGGGTTCAGGTTTTGGGGTTCAGGGGCTTTGACTTTGGGCTTCTGCTCTGAGGCTTAGGGTTCACGCACGTGGTCAGCGATCCCAAGCCCGAGAAGCTAGGCAATAGCAGCCTACTTGGAGGATCATGGGACTTAGTAAGTAAGGTTTAGGGTTTTAGGGTTTTAGGGTTTAGGGTTTTAGGGTTTAGGGTTTAGGGTTTACTTTGAGGATCATGAGACTTCGTAAGTAAGGTTAGAAGTACCCTAAGTGGGGTTATAATTATAGTTACCTTGCCTATAACCCTAGTTACTAAGCCCCATTATCCTCCAAGTAGACGACCCCAAACAAGGCTTAACTCCAGAACCGAAAGCACTGATGGCACGAGTGCTTTACAATTCCAAAGCCCAGGCTGAGAGGTTTCCGGCCCGGTTTTAGTGTTTAGGGTTTGATACACGTCTCAGGAGCTGTAATCCGAGGAGCAGTGGACAGGGTCGGGTCTGGGCTTGCTGTAACCCATGGCAACAGCCGCGGTCACACCTTGATGCATCTGCATAGGTCTTCTTGTTGTGATTCCTCTAATTGCGGGGATTGAGTTATAGTAGAACATAGATCTCCACACCCCTTAAGCTTTGGGGTTAAGGGTTGAGGCTTCCTAAGTTGAGGGTTTAGGGGTTATTGTTCATGGGCTCGGTGTTTGAGGAAGCCTTTAACCCTGCTTTGAAAGTCATCACTGCTGAGGAACATGTTCGTCTTGTCATGACACCATGTGCCTGCAAGTGTTACTTGTACACAAGTCACGATATCTACGCAGCTCCATTACTAAACCCCTCGGCCCAATTTTGCGTAAGAACTCCCTGAACTCCTAACAGCCCGCTGCACAGGCAAAATCGCCCTCTATCAACTCTCCGGTGCCCACGCTGTAGCAATGTGAGAGCATTAGGTTCCCAGAGACTCCAGTATCCCTTTATTAAGGAATATACCTTAAATCATATTAGGGATCCTACTATAATTTAAGGTATATTCCTTAATTAAGGGATATTGGAGTCTCTGGGTTTAGGAAGGTTCCAGGACCTTTTCAATGCGGAAACCGTCAACCCGAAGTCCGACCAACACCTCCATCCAGCTTCCCAGAGAGCCCAATACCCCTTAAATAAGGAATATGCCTTGAATTATAGGAGCCTTAATATTATGATTTAAAGCGGATTCCTTAATCAAGGGGTATTGGGTTCTCTGGGTTTCCCGCTGTGCCTTGAAGCGCTACGTCAGTGAATCCCCACAGCCCGAAAGCTGAAGCATCCCAAATCGGTAATATAGGGGCCTAAAGTAACTACCAATACCATGTTGGGGGGTCCTTAGTAGAAGCATAGTATATTATAGCCTAGAGCCCTATTCGAATTGTTAAGGCCCCTCCTATATTAACTCCCCCACCTCCCCGCAGCCGTCATGCGAGACTCCCGATGCCTAAACCCGAGCGCTAAACCCTAAACCCTAAACCCTAAACCCTAAACCCTAAACCCTAAACCCTCAGCCCGCGAGCCAAAGCGGCTCCAAGAGAGAGACCGACGCTTGTTTGGGAGAGAAGAAAGGCACTGGGCTCAGTATTCCCTACCTTAAGAACCGAAAACCTACTTTTTTGTAGGGTCCCTATAAATCCCATATTAGGGTTTATAATAAGAACCTACAAAAAAGTGGGTTTTGGGCTCTTAAGGTAGGGCCTAGGGTTCCTTCTTGTAGATTAAATATACGCTAGTAGGACAGATTCCAAACCCTGTTTTGACTGGCAAGGCCCCCCCCCAATAAACCCTTATAGTAGCCCTTACTGCAACCCTCATAGAATGGAGGTCTCTTTTTTAAATTTGGTTTTATTTTTTTTTGTTTTGGTGGTTTTCTTAGCTTTGCTCCAGTGGTCCCATGCTTTCGCTTGCTTGTAGTTTTCTGCTTGTTTGTGCTTTTGCTTTCTGCTCCTCTGCTTTTCAGCCTCTCTGCTTCGCTTTTCTGTTTCTCCGCTGTTCTTTCTGCCTTGGGCTCCGAGAATGTAGAGTTTTCGGAGTTGCGTTTCTTCGTTGCTTTATATTCGTGGGCGGATGGGGAGCCGTCTGATGGGATTCTTAGGCAGATCTTCATTCCCATGATCTGTTCATGGCATTTGCTTTGAGCTTTGTGCCTTGTATTTGTACTCTAGAGCTTCAAGTTCGGAGTTTGTGGCTTAATTCCTTGGGATGCCTTGTTGTATGCTTAGTGCAGCCCTACAGCTCTATTCTGATTAGTGCGGCCTCTGTTAACCCATGTTTTTTTGCCCTAAACCCTAAACCCTAAACCCTAAACCCTAAACCCTAAACCCTAAACCCCTAAACCCTAGTGGTTTGAATGAAGGGACTTACACCTCGCTGGATTCCAACAGCCATGCTGGGGCGCAATCAGGATTTGTTCACGGCTCCTTTCATGCCTTCGCATCTTGAACGCCTAAACCCAAAACCCAAAACCCCAAACCCTAAACCCTAAACCCCAATAGCTGGCTGAGGTTTTTCCCGGGACGGAGGGTACTATAGGGTTCTGGACTAGAGTTCGCTTGCAAGGATTTAGGCCTTAGGTCTACCGAAGGATCGGGGGACCAAGTAGCTAGGGTTATAGATAATCTGACCATACTTCTAATTATAATGATTGTTAAATTTGACACAGTGTTCAAAGCACTCTAAAACGTAAGCCCCAAAAACGTCAACGCCCGGTGCCTTCAGTCACTATTTGTTCACGGCCCCGCACAAATTGAACTCTTGTTGACACCTAAGATGCTTAATGTAGGGGCCTTCATAATTACCTACAGTTATAATTATAGTATAGTATACCGCAAATCCTATGCTAATTATTAAGTCCCCTATATTAATCCGGAAAGCTTTGGCTCAAGAGTTCGGGTCTCGTTTGCCGGCTCGTGGGCTTTCGGTTCAGGTTTCTGGAAGGTAGGATTTAGACAATAAGGGGATTAGGAGATGAGGGTTTAGGGTTTGAGGCCCACGGTTCAGGGTCTAGGGGATCAGGGAATCAGATCTCTGAAAGGTTGTTTGAGAAGATTCAACGGCTCCTTAGGGTTCAAAGTCTGGGGGGTGCTCAGGCTCCTAGAATCTAGGTGTAGGGTTTCAGGTTTTCCTAAACCCGAACCCCGAAACCCCTAAACCGTAAACCCTAAACCCCGAAACCCCTAGACCCCAAAATCCCTAAGCCCTGAAACCATAAACCCTAAACCCCGAAACTCGTACGTCCCTCGACCCAGATCCCCAAATCCTTATAGCCAGTGCCTCTTGTCGGCCACTTGTAAGGGCACCCAATACCCCTTAACTAAGAAATAGATTTTAAATCAGAATATCAAGGCACTTATAATTTTAGGTATATTCCTTATTCAAGGGGTATTGGGCTCTCTGGGTTTAAGGGAACCCTAAACCCTAAACCCTAAACCCTAAACCCTAAACCCTAAACCCTAAACCCTAAACCCTAAACCCTGAACCCTAAACCGGTTGAAGGGAACCCTAACTCGGATCCTAAACGGTCCCTTCGCTTGGGGGCTCGGGGCTTCGATCCCCTGGAAGAGCCGCAGCCGCTGGGAGCCATGAGGTCGGATGAGGGTTGTAGGGTCCAGGGGGTCACTTTGGGGTTCGGGGGTTCGGGTTTAGGATTTCGGGTTGTGGGTTTAGGGTTTAGGGTTGAGGATTTAGGGTTGTGGGTTTAGGGTTTAGGATTTAGGGTCGTGGGTTGAGGGGTTCAGGGTTCACGGTTTAGGGTTTAGGGTTGATTCGTGTTTAAGTGATGCTGGGCTGTCTACTTGGAGGTTCATGCGACTTAGTAAGTAAGGTTATAACTACCCTAATTGGGGTGATAATTCTAGTTACCTTATTTATAACCCTAGTTACTAAGTCCCATGATCCTCCAAGTAGGTTCCTGGAGAGGCATCCTTGAAACCACATCTAAGAACCAAAAGTAGGCGAGATTGAGGGTTTAGGGTGCAGGGTACCCAGAGAGCCCAATACCCCTTGAATAAGGAATATACCTTGAATTATAGGGGCCTTCATATTGTGATTTAAGGTATATTCCTTAGTTAAGGGGTATTGGGCTCTCTGGGTAAGGACTCAGGGTTTAAGCGAAGCTTTGAACCCCAAAACTCGACGACACGAGTCTCAAGCCTTCAAAGCCTAAAGCCCTTGTAGAACTCGTAATGGAACCTTTATCCCTTAAGCCAGGGATATACCATAAAATAGTGGGGGTCCAATATTAGTTGTATGTAGTTGTGCGGTATATTTCTTAATGTCTGGGTAACCGCGAACCCTAAATTAAATAACCCTAAACCCTAAACCCTAAACCCTAAACCCTAAACCCTAAAGGTATTTCCGGGTTAGTTGAGGGCTGACACATCTTGCCTGAACTCCTTTTGGGCGGACCCCTCAACCTTAAACCCTAAACCCTAAAACCACCAAGGCAGCCTTAAACCCCAAAAAAAATCCCTAAACCCTAAACCCCAAACCCACAAAAACAGCCTGAAACCCTAAACTCTTAAACCCCAAACCACAAAAACAAAAAGAGATTCCCGGAAAGGCGTTCGCTGGTTGAAGGGCAGGAGCTCTCCTCCTTTCAGCAGCAGGCGGTCGTCTGGACACCGGACAGCGTCAGGTGCCTTGTTCCTTCAAGGGGTTCCTTGGAGGTGTTACTTTATGATTGGGGATAGGGGTTGTGGGTTCAGATGTTTGGGCTTTGGAGTTTTTGATCTTTTGGCTTCTGTGCTTCGGAGTTCGAAGTTTCTAGTTTTTTCGCGGCTTTTGGTGTTGGGGGGTCTGGAGTTTGGGGGTTGGGTTTTCGAGTTCTTGTGTTGTGAGTTCTTTCGGCTTTGGGTGGTTGTGGAGTTTAGATTCGGCATAAACAGCTTTTCCTGTACAGCTGTTTCTTCATTCGATGTCAGTTTAAGATTTCGGAGGAAAGGTGCTTTGTCTTTGGACCTAGGTGCCTCAGTGTTTAGGGACAGCTGCTCGGAACGACACAACGTGCCTACAGAGTTTGCTGTTCCGTCTGCAACTTGTGCAGGGTTTCCGGCTTCCGCGCTCGGTTGGCGAGAAAGGCATTGCAGGGTATAGAATTCTTGGCAACAGGGGTTACACCTTAAAATCCTAAAGCTTGAACTTTAAACCGTAAGCCCTAAGCTTTAAGTTTGTGGTTATTACGATAGCTTCCTAACCGTCAAAATACCTCCTCCCCGCTGCTAAGTGCAGTTGGACAAGCGCCCACAAAAAACCCTACACCCTGAACCCTATAATCCTAAACCGCGAGGCAGGCCCTGGACAATGTCGTCAAGCAGAACTGCTGCTGGGGACCCAGGGCTGAGGGGCTTAGGAACAATTAGGGTTTAGGGTCCACGGGCTTTAGGGATTTAGGGTTTTGGGTTTTAGGGATTTAGGGTTTTGGGTTTAGGGTTTAGGGTTCGGGGTTTGGGGTTTAGGGTTCAGAGTTTAGTTTAAGGTTTAGGGCTCAGGGTTTAGAGTTTATTTTAGGGTTTAGGGTTTAGGGTTTAGGGCTCGTCTCTCTTGGCCCTAGACCCTTCAATGAAGGAGTACACCTTAAGCCTTAAACTATAGGGGCTGTAAGACTATGATGTGAGGTATATTCCCTCACTCAGGGGTATCTGGCTCTCCAAGTTTTGCGAGGTCGCCACCCATAAGACCATCCCAAATTCTTCACACACTTTCAACACAAAGGCACAGCGTAGAGCGGTAATAAGACCATACTCTACATGGTACGGGTTCCTGTTCTACTTGGAGGGTCATGGGACTTAGTAACTAGGGTTATAAATAAGGTAACTACAATTATAACTTCAATTAGGGTACTTATAACCTTACTTACTAAGTCCCATGATATTTCAAGTATATGCCATAATAAGAGGACGAAGGAGCATCAGACCCGAAATCTCCGAAATTTCACCCTAAACCCTAAACCCTGAACCTTAAATTGAAACCCTAAACCCGAAACTCTAAACCCTAAACCCCTAAGCCCTGTACCCCAAGCCCTGACATCCTGGATCCTCAACCCTGAAATCCCGAGAAGAGCCCCAGACCCTAAACCCCAAAGCCCTAAGCCCAGAGGGCCCTTAAAAGGAGATCCCGTGCCTAGCCCCGAGACTTTGGGTTTAGGGTTTAGGGGTTGAGGGTTTAGGGCCCCAGTCTAGGACATTTTCAGGTGGGTAGTTACCGTTATAGGAGCCTTATAGAAGGTCTATATATACCTTATAGAGGCCTTATAGAAGCCCTTATATACCCTAAACTCCCCACCTGTAGCTTCCTTAAACCCTAAACCCTAAACCCTAAACCCTAAACCCTAAACCCCAAAACCCAAAACCCTAAACCCTAAACCCTTAAAGGAACCCTAAACCCTAGTTTCCTTTAACCTAGGCTGGGGAAAGAAGCCCGTGGAGGAGATGGAGATCAAAAGCATGATTCAGTCAGACCTCTGGTCCGTCGCCTGCGTCAGATTTGCGGTTTTGCGGTTTGAGGGTTTCAATGGCCGCTAGGAGCAGGGTTTAGGGGTTTAGGGTTTAGGGTTTAGGGGTTTAGGGGTTCAGGGTTTAGGGTTTAGGGGTTTGGGGGTTTCAGTTTGCGGCTTGGAGGGTCATGGCACTTAGTAACTAGGGTTATAACCAAGGTGAATGTAGCTTTAACACCAAATAGGGCACTTACAAGTTTACTTACCAAGTCCCCTGATCCTCCAAGTAGGGCTTGCGGTTTGGGGATTAGAGATTTGAGTTTGGCTTTTGGATTTAGGACTTACGGTTTAAAGCCACTAGAACACAGTCCTGTTTGATATCCCAGCAATATTATTCCTAGGCTTCCTCAATATAGCTAGCTAGTACACGTAATATACCCCAAAACCCTCTTCCAACTTTGGAGGCATTTATATGACTAGCCCTGCAGCGCCTACATGCTTATATCAGGATATAACTATTTAACATTTCCGTGATGGTTTCTTATCGTAATCAAACTATAAATTACCTCAAACCCTAGTCTCTATTATTAAGCCACTGCTTTTAAGTAAACTTGCTAGATGATTCAAGTCCTTTCCAGCCCAGGTACATAAAGATGATATCCTTCACAGAGGCACGCTCCACTGAAAAGAAGTCGGGGCCCTACAAGGGTGGGGATGTGGACAAGGACGGCACGCCACCTGGAGACACGGCCATATTTAGCAGGGCTTTGGGTTTTGGGCTTAGTGCTTTTTTTGTTGTAGGGTTGAAGTTTCAGGGGCTGTGATGCCTGCTCCATGAAGCCGGGAAATCCCTGCATGAACAAGCGTCGGCTGTCTGAACCTCTTCATAATCCCTGTATACTTAACGCTTGTAAAGGCCTAATCCTATTCCAAGTATGAAAACCCTTATCTTAAACACCCCATAAGAACTTGATAGCACCCCTCTTACGTGCCCTAGACCCTAAGCCCTAAACCCGGAAGCCTACTATCGCGGGCTGAGCCGCAGGCGAGTGGAGCATGGACGTCCCGCAGCCGGAGCATTTCGAGTCTTCCACGAAGCGCTACAAGGTTCGCCAGCCGAGGGTTTATCAGAGGGCTCCGAAGCTGGGACTCAGAGACTCCAATATCCCTTGATTAAGGAATATACCCTAAATTATAGTAGGATCCCGAAATATGATTTAAGGTATATTCCATAATTAAGGGGTATTGGAGTCTTTGGGGATGAAGGTACTTGGAGGGCTCGATGATCATCAAGTTCGAGACTAATTGCAAGACGGCGTTGGGAATGGAGCTCACGACGTCTTCGCCCAGGTAGAAGTACTGGTTCCGCACCAAATCAAAAGTCGTGAGGAATTGTGGAGGATCATGGGACTTAGTAAGTAAGGTTATAAGTACCTTAAATGGGGTTATAATTACAGTTACCTTATTTATAACCCTAGTTACTAAGTGCCATGATCCTCCAAGTAGGTGGGGCAATCCCAAATAAGACCTAAGACCTAAACCCTAAACCCTAAGCCTTATAGAAGGGATCCTTAATTCTTTTTTAGCCGCATCCCATCTTTTGAGACCCCCGAGTTTAGGGTTTGGTCTTTGGGGTTTATTACTAAACCCTACACCCCAAAACCCTAAACCCACCAGGGGGTTTAGGGGTCGGGCTTGGGCTTAGGGTTTAGGGCTTTAGGGTGCGGTTTGGGTTCGTTTTTGGGTGCCCTGTTGGGGGTACCCGAAGCGCATGAGGCGTGCAGGCTCGCAGCAGTTGATACAGCGCAAACCAAAAACCCCAAGCCCTACGCCTCAGATGCTAAACCTTAAATCCCACAGCTGGAACCTGAATCCGACAGCCCCAGGTACCATACTCCGAAGTGCTGACCCAGTGCCAGAAATGCGGCGGCCGCGGCAACACAACCTGCAAGCTATGTGATGGCACCTGGACTTGCTGTTCAGCTCTGATTCCGCAACGCCCTGAATCCGCAATGCCGTAAGCCTTAAAACCCCTAAACCCGAAACCCTAAACCTCAACCCCTGACCCCTAAACCTTAACCGCTGAGTAGTTAAAGGGCGTTCCTGGTGTTGAAAAAAACTAGTCCCTAAACGTTGAGACCTTTCTGCAAGTGGCATAGTCTACTTGGAAGATCAGGGTAAGTATGCGTAGACTTGAATAAGGTTATGGAAGCGCTCATAGCTACAGTAACTTGACCCACTTACAATAAGTCCGTTGTTCCTGAGCTGTAAACCCTACACGCTAAACCCTTTTCCTAGCCCTCAGCCCCCAACCCTCAACTCCAAATCCAAGATCCTTGAAGCCCCAAGCCCTAACCCCTGACTTTACACCTCATCCCAAGCTTCCCGAAATCTCACATAAAATTCTCAGGTTTAGGGTTTAGGGTTTAGGGTTGAGGGTTTTCAGATAGAAGGGTCAAGAGTTTCGCGCTCGGAGCAAAAACCCAACCCAAGACCCTAAAATTCCGGTGTGCCGAGGATACGGATGGATTTGGTGCAAGAAGTGCAACGGCAAGAGATGGCTCTGGTGCTCTAAGTGTGAAAAGAAAGGCCGGTCAATCATAGGGTTTAGGGTTTAGGGTTTAGGGTTTAGGGTAAGGGCTTCTTACTTTTTGTGGTATGGTTTGGGTCTTCTCATACATTAGAAAGGAAGCGATCCAGGCAGAATGGCAGGATAACCTGTATTGCAGCCACAGGGCCCTGTACAGCTAGTTAAGTACTACATATAATACTGTCCCCTTAGTCCTTGTATACTTCTTAGTCTAACATGATATTCCCCAGAACCCCGTTCTGATGAGTCAGGGCCCTGTGCTAAGCCAGCATAGCAACGTTCACAGACCCCTCTAACCGGAACTCTGAAAGCAACCCTATTCCAATAATCAAGGCCCCTGCGCTAGAAAAACATTACAGCCCTAAACCCTAAAAAACCCCAAACCCTAAATCCCAAACCCTACCATCCCAAGCCCTTAATCCTAGACCCTAAACACGATACGAGCGAGGGTTTATAAGTTTTAGGAGTTCGGTGATCCCAGGACCTTTTAAAGGGGGTAAGACTTCTTTCTTGGGTGTTGGATCTTATAGGGTTTTGTGGGTTTTAGTCGTGATTGTGAGACTTCGGGTTTAGGGTTTAGGGGGGCTCTTGCACCCTGTTTGGTCGAAGGTTAGGGCTTAGGGCTCGCAATAGGCGCTGAAGTCGTTGAAGGTGCAGGATTTAGGACTCCGCAGGGGCTATCCTGGGGTTTTAGGGTTTCAGGGTTTAGGGTTTAGGGTTTTAGGGTTTCAGGATTGGGACCAGTATAGAAGCCGAAATAGTCAACAATGTTATTGCTGGGCTTCTTTATTACAGTTAGCATACAACCCGAAACCCTATTCCAATTATTTATTCAGGTTAATGTACTAAACCCTCCTTTTTTAAGGAACCCAAAAAATCCATCTTAAGATCATCTAGAACACTTTCAAGGAACCCTATAGAGCCCATCTGAGGGGGGTATCCCTAAACCCTAAACCCCAAACCCTAAACCCTGAACCCTAAACCCTGAACCCTAAACCCTAAACCCTAAACCCTAAGCCCTAAACCGTAAACCCGAAACCCTAAAACC